GAATGGAAGTACAACCAATGTCAGAAGGGTTACATCAGAATAAGTTCGGGTTTTCCAGCCCTTGTTGCCCACCCGCCGTTTCACCGCCTGCTGCACCCTCGGTCCCTCACCATGCTCCTAGAGGTACGTCCCAAAAATGTGAATCGGGGTTGGGTTGGACATTTGTGACAAAGGGTTTACGAAGTCCCCCAGGACGAGGTTGAGAGGAAATGGGAATGAAGCAGGGACGAAGGCTTCGTGGGAGCTAAGTCCACATTGGCAAAGGCTTTGTCCAGAGGCCCTATGTCCCAGCTTCATCGGGCCGTCCAAACCTAAACCTATCCGCTACCGTGGCGAATTATTAGCGTCCTGTAGGTTTCCGCTTCATTCCAGCCACATCCCAACAACCATACCAAAGAAGCACGGGTTACCTAGGCCAAGAGCAGCGTGCTGGGTCGGTTATGATTGGCCAAGGACAAATATCGTACCAGCCAATCAGAAAACGCGAGAGAGGGCAAATTTCTCGTCTGTAATTGGTCAATGAAAATTCGACGCGCTTCAGAAAAATATGGGCGAAAATGCGGTCGGCGAAAACTCGACGCGCTTCGGCGAAAAATCGACACGCTTCGCGAAAGGGAAAATCACTTCGACAAACTGGGTAGCCGAGCTGTATAATTTGCGATTGTTTATTGCGACCGTAAAAGAGACGCAACACAGATGTCTTAGAAACGAGACACTTTGTATCTTACCAAAGAACGGTCGAGCCAGCAAAAATTGTGCAGCCAGCTTCTGACCAATCCCCAACCACCACATCACCCCCTTATCAACCCACACCCAGAATAGGTAGCCACAGAAACTCCTCACCTCACGTCTCAATTCCTACTCATATGACCCATCATGTGCTCAGCAACCTCTTCCTCATTTCTAGACTTTGCTCTCCCTCCCCCTAGTCTTCCTTCTCCATTTTCATACCACCCTGAGCTCATAGATCTAAGACTGCATTGAGTAGGAGCCGCGGCGTTTTCGTTCCTGCGTATCGGTAGTTATACCGTTCGTCGTTTTTATAGCGTTCCACAGTACAGCCCCTTTCTGCTGACTAATAACTTTGGTTTTTCTTACTTCGTTGCAGGTTCCTCATCAAGAAAATTCTTATGTCCAAAGGCAGCACCTCCGTATGGTGTACCAGCCGCGATCCTCGATCCGGGCACTATCACCATGGCGGCCTAAACGGTAAGTCTGAATGTATCCTGACTCCGTCGTTTCCCGTCCTATTTCTCTTATCAACTCACGCTCCGGTCCCGGTTTCCTGTTTGCTGGACAAGATTTTGATTGTACTACTACCGTATGCCGAAATCCGTAAGTTGAATTATGCTGTTAGAATTTCTACCTGTCTTGTCGCCTTGCATTCTCTGCCCTGTACTCAGCTGGCATGCAGGGCTCTGGAAAAGAGTGGACAGAACCCAGTCACGACCTTGATGAAGCAAATTTGAAGCCATGGTGGAAATAGCCGTTGAACGGAATCCGCTTCCATGTCACCGCTTTTATCCCGTTCTCGTGATCCCGTTCTGCCCGAAATCGAGCTACGGAAGTGCTGAATTTGTAGTTCAATTTTGTTGTATTTTAAATTTTGTGCAATCAAGCTGTTATATCTCCCATGGGTTTACAGAATTACTACATAGTATACTAGATATAAAACAACATGAATTGTGGCGGGAATGCTTCAGGCTTGAAATACTATGTGTCTGCATAGCAAAAACATAGCAATGACGGAAGCACACAAAGCACATGCATAGCGCATGCTACGTCTAGCGCAACATCATAGCACGAAGATCAGCATGGACAATGTTTTCGCAATGCCCCTCGACACTCCTCGCACTAAGTAGGTGCTTTGTATGAGCTTTGCATTTCGGAACTATGTTTATGCTTCACTGATGAACACGTTTAGACATAGCCTTCACGAGCATAGTCGGTGCATAGCACTTCCGCGAACGTGCGAAGCAGGTGCATAGGTTTCCGGCCCCCAATTTTTGGGATGTAAGCCCGATCCGCGTGAAAGGTTTGCTCAGTTCGGCTATCCTGGCCCAGGCGTCTCCTCCCGCCGGTTCATCCCTCGCCATGTTCCTAGAGGTGGGTCTGATAGGCGTGGGTAGGCGTGGCGGTATTTTCTAGAGACTCGCGTATGTCCTGCTGTCCTGCTGTCGCTGTCCTGCCCGTTCGAGTCATGCCTGTTTTCTTCCCTCGTTTGCAATTAAATTCGTTTTTAACCCATGCGTGCATGTGACCCGGTTACAAATACAGCTTCCCTGATCCCCCTGAACCATGCATGTGCATGTACAGGACGGGATTGCGTTGAAGGGAACCCAGCACCAAGATTCATAACTAATGTGTTTCTTCAATGCTTCAGAGACGACTTTTGAGGCGCCTCAAAAGTCGAATCATGCGCCATGCCAGTCCATGAAACTCCCTGCTACCACCAGGTGGCTTCAGAGCCCTCCCTGCCTTCCATCGAGCGCTGCTTCGCCCTCAACCTGCTCTCACACTCTCTAGCGGATGTAAGATCACCGATTTTCTGCGGTGAGCCGTGCTCGCACAAGTGCTAGGTGAGACTAGTCAGGATTCGCCTTTGAGACTTGAGTCGAGTCAAGAACAGAATAGTCAAGCCTCAAGGTTCGCCCTCAACCTGCTCTCACACTCTCTAGTGGATGTAACCTTCGAGTCGACTCAAGTAACCTCGTTACAATGTCACAATACTGGAGTCGACTCAAAAGTCACCTCGAATAATCAAGCCTCAAGGGTCGCCCTCAACCTGCTCTCGCAGTCTCTAGTGGATGTAAGATTGTCTGCTGGCAATCAATTACTTTCTCTATGATGACGTGTGCTCTGCTCTCACATTCGTGATTTTTTTGTCGCCTCGTAAGATACCTACTTGCTCACACTTTCGCTGATGGGTGTCTCATGAGTCGTTGTGCGTTGAGGCGCCTCGAAACACTCTCACTCAGCCTCCTCTCCCTTTCTCGTCCCTTTTTCTTTGCATCCCACCACCCACCGGGTGCATCCACCCATCCAATCTCTTCGTCTGATTCACCACTCCTCAAACTGCCTCTCAGGTCCCCGGCAAGTCACCTCGGGAATATGTGCAGCTTTTCAGACCCCCCAACCAGGTGGGTGGGTGTGTGTTTGAGGGGAAGGGGAGGGGGAATGAAGGGGGGGGGGGGGAAGTATCTATGCTGCGTGTGTGTGTCTTCGTCAGGTCAGCCCGTCCGCTAATTCTTCTCAGGTTTCCAGCCAAGTCAGCTCGGTACTTGCTGTTCGCGTCGCTGTTTCGCCCGCGCCTGTTCTGTGTGCATTACGGAAATAGATTTTGCAGGGAAAGAGAGGTACGGTGAAAGAGAGGTACAGTGAAAGAGAGGTACAGTAAAAGAGAGGTACAGTAAAAGAGAGGTACAGTAAAAGAGAGGTACAGTGAAAGAGAGGTACAGTGAAGGAGAGGTACAGTGAAAGAGAGGTACAGTGAAAGAGAGGTACAGTAAAATAGAGGTACAGTGAAAGAGAGGTACAGTGAAAGTGAGGTACAGTAAAAGAGAGGTACAGTGAAAGAGAGGTACAGTGAAAGAGAGGTACAGTGAAAGAGAGGTACAGTGAAAGAGAGGTACAGTGAATGAGGATCCGTGCAGTAAAGGATGAGGTACAGTGAGGGAGACGCATAGTTAGAAGATGCACATTAAAGGGGACATACAACCAACGTGAGGTGTAGTGAAGGAGAGGTACAGTAAGGGAGACGTACTGTTAAAGGGAAGTACAGAAAAGTGGAGGTATAGTAAATGAGGAGAGGTGCAGTGAAGGAGAGGTACAGTAAATGTGAGGTATGGTAAAGGGAGCGGATGGGCGTCTTGGAGGCACTGGTTCGCACGTCAGCTGATTGGCTGCAACTCGTATGCATTGGCAGGGAATGAAAAGTTGTAGAGACGATGCCACAGCCATGGTTACACAAGTAGCTTAACACGCAGCTGGAGCAGCTCTTGTTCTCGCATCTTCCGTTGCCTGCGCCTAGGAGGCGACGATGGGAGGTGGGGTTGAAGTGACCAGACCAGCTCTACCCTCTCAAGCTGTCCTTTTTCGCTCCCCTCTCCCCTCGCTGGTCTGGTGGACACTTCAACCACATTTTCCGTCGTCACCTTCCAGACGCAGGCCGTGGAAACTGCGAGTACAGAAGCTGCTACAGCTATGTGTTGAGCTGCTTTCTTGCGTAGCAATGGCTGTGGCAACGCCCCTTTTATGGAGAATCCGCTCTCTCCGTTTTGCAACCAAATCAGCTGTCTGCCATTCGAATGTGTTCTCTTCGTTCATCCTCCAACTGATTTGTTTTTTCCCAATAATTTTGCCCTTGGCTCCAGGTCGCCCATTCTCGAATGGGGGTGCTTGAGAGTACTATAGGGGTGTGAGGAGCAATTCTACTGAGGCCATTTGACTCCAGCTGTTTGGTTGCGGCCCCCTTCTTTCCCTAATTTTTGTTACCTTCTTGTTTTGCCATTGGTTCCCTGTCGTTGCAGATGGATAGAATTAGCCCAGACATTCCTGTAGAGCAACCACAGGCAGCAGCAACACACGCGGCACCAACACCACCTGCAGCACTAGCAGCAGCAGCAGCAGCAGTAGCAGCAGCAGGAGCATCTAAACCAGCAGCTGCAGCGCACCCATCAGGTATGGCAGCAGCAGGTGTTACTTCTGACGCCGAAGCCAAACCCAAACCCAAACCCAAACCCAAACCCAAGCCCAAAACCGCCAGGCTGCTACTTCCAAAGGGGAGTTTATGTCCGGGGAGTCCGATGCAGGCATGAGAGGGGGCCGGATGCAAGAGGGTGTTACAGGGGAGTTGGAGGAGGGGAGAGGAGAGGAAAGGGTGGCGAGAGTGAGTGAGGGAGAGGGTGAGAGGAGAGATGGTGGGGGTGGGGAGGTGGGGGGGAATGGAGGAGGAGGGAGAGCAGAAGCAGGAGGGGGAGGGGAGAGTGTGGAGGGCGAAGGGGGGGTAGGGGAAGGAGGAGGGAGTGTGGAGTTTCAGTTGATGCACAAGGCGTTGGAGGGTCCACTCATGCCCGCACAGCAGCAGGTGAGGCTGAGTCAGCAGCAGGTGAGGCTGAGTCAGGAGAATGTGAGGCTGACTTGGCACAGCAGCAGCCTGAGTCAGCACTGTGTCGGAATGAACCGGCAGTAAAAGTGCCTTTTCGCCCTCAACAAAATGCCAACTTTTCTCGCTGTCAACCTTGCAATGGGCATCTCAAGAGATCCGAGCCTTCCTGCCCTGAGCCTTCCCACCCTCCCCTCTCGCCCGTTGTCTATTTCGTTGGCTCCCTTTCCTGTCATCCCATCAGGAGCTCCTCTCTCTTCTCTCCGCCAACCCTTTACTCGTCGCGCATTGTGGTCTACACCCCATCACACTGCCAGTACGTATTTCTTACTACTCTATTTTACTAACTATTGCTGTAGTACGCTCTTTCTTTTTCATTGTACTGGACATGTGCACACAATACCCTTATCATGTTCTATGCATGTGCGCTCACTCATTTCCCACCGTAGTGGATTTTTTAGAATTCTAAAAAATGCATTGCTGCATGGCAACCCTGCGAAATGAGAACACATCACAACCCTGACGTTGCTGCGTGTGCCCTCATTTCCCCCCGTAGTGGCCTCCCCCCCCCCCCTCCCCCCCGCCCCATCTCTTCCCATTCTTCTCTTCCACTCTCCCTCCTTATGGAGCACAATTCTTCCCTCTTCTATCACCAGCCCCTGTGGAGCACAATTCTGATCTTGCTAGTTGTGCTCTCACCCTCCTGCACTCCCTATCACTCCCTCCCTTTTCGCTTGTCTCATTCTCTTCCCTAAATTCCATCTCCCCCTAAGCTCTAGTGGAGCACAACCCTGACGTTGCTGCGTGCACTCACACCCCCCCTCATCTCCCTCACCTCACCTCACCCCCCCTCACTCCTTTCATTCCCTTCTCTTCCTTTACCCTGTCTCTCCCCAGCCCCTAGTGGAGCACAATCCTGATGTTGCTGCATGCGCCCTCACTTTGTTGCTGGCATTGCAGCCAGCTTTTGAGTAAGCACAGCAGGAGGCCTAGCAAGCAGGGCATGGGGGCCAGGGTAAGCAAGGTTATGGCGGGCAATTTTCTATCTCAGATATACCAAAGGTTACGTGTGTCACTTGTGTTTGGCATTGGGTTGTAGGCGGTTCTTGAGATGCCTAAAAAATCGTCGCATGGCGTGCGGCTTTAATTTATTTCGAGGAGCCTCAAAACGTGTGTTTGGCATTGGGTCGTAGCGAGAAAGAGAAAGAGCAAGTCTCAGCTCCCACCCGCCCATCACTTGATGTGAGCGTATGAAAGCCTTCTTTCCCACCCTTCTTTCCCACCCTTCCGCAACCCAGGTATCTGGAAATTCTGTCTCAGCTGCCCCTTACCCTTCACTCCCTGGAGGTGGTCAGCCAGGTGGCGAAGGGTATTGACTTGCCACTCCCTTCCGTTTGAACACATGTAAAACACCTCTCCCTCACCCCAGGTACTTGGAGGTTCTGTCTCAGCTGCCACTGACTCTTCACTCCCTGGAGGTGGTCAGCCGGGTGGCAAAGGCCGTTGACTTGCCGCCCGATTTCATCCACTCATACGCGAGCCACTGCATGCGGTGCTGCAAGGAGACCAAGGTGGGTTACTGATCGAAATGAGAAAATATGTTATGCGTTGAGACCAGATTGAGTGGGAGTGGGAGTGTCGGCTCAAATGCCACCTTTTCTTGTCAGCTAATGCACACGGTTCTGTGGAGAGAAAACAAGGTGGCTTTGAAACATTGCTAAAACATCACTGATGTATCGTGAAACAGGTTGCCATTTAAACGAGGTGACTTTTGAGTTGACTCAAAATTCACCTCGTTACTGTATCGTGTAACAAGTTGCCATTTTGTACCCACTGGTAAAGTTGTGTGCTTGGTCGCTGACTCAACTCCGAAATTGTGTGTTGCTTGTAAGCCTATTCCCCTGTCCTGTTTTTAGTGAGCTGATCAGGTGCGCGCATGCTTTATGCCCCTAAACCCAACCCACATGTGCAGGATAAGAGCATGCAGAATCGCCTTGTGCGGATCGTGTGCATCTTCTTACTCAGTCTTATCCGCGATAACATCATCAATGGTACACCTCAAACTTACTTGCTTTCTATGAAAGGCATTGTTTTTGGGGCGCCTTAAAAGCAATCAATGGGACACCTCAAACTTACTTGCTTTCTATGAAGAGCACCACATTTTGATACTGCCTTGATGCCGTAGAGTCGTAGACCCTCTTTTGCTGGCGACGCCTAGTTGCATACGGTATGAAGAATCGTCCTCCTCTGCATGGTGCTTGAACACCTGATCTCAGCAACCCCTTCCCCCTCCCCTCTACCCCCCCCCATTCCGGCTCCTCTCTCTCCCCCCCGGTTCCGGCTCCTCTCTTCCCCCTCCGTCCTTCCCCACGAGGCAGTGGGCGCTTTTCATTGAAATGCAGGCATTCTGTATCGAGTATTCACGAGTCAGGGAAGCAGCAGCCCTGTTTCGCATGCTCAAATCCCTGGAATAGAACTGGAGTCCCTTGCGTTGTATGTACTTGGTGGGCGGAGGAACTGTCGGCCTGGAGGGTCCAGTAACCAGTTAAAGCCCCGGCTCATGCCCTCACTCACGCCTCTTAATTTATTCGATGTTTTGCCAACTATCCAGTTTGGTTCTCAGTGGCGAGGTGGACCATTCATGGTCCCCAAATGGTTGTTCTTCATACATCGGCCTTTTTGTGGTAGAAGCGTCATTTAGGGCGGGTGCTCTACAGCCTTCTTGTTTATTGAAAACCGTGAACGTTCTAGAGATGCGTGAGTCGGACACAGATAGGTAGGAACCACTGCAAGGTGCGCTGGAAGGAGGGAAAGCCACCTTACATTAATAATTTTCCAAGTTCTGTACACAGAAGAAAGCATCACCGGAACTGGATAGGGCCCAGCATGTAGGCAGTGACCCTAAACCCTAAATCTACAGCATAAACTGGCAGGCAGTCTCATCTCTTCAGAGGTTGAACAGAATGTAGTTAGCGTGCTGTGGTGTGGACCGTAACAGTAGCAGTACAGCCTGTAATGAGCTCTACTTCGGCATTTTGGTCCCATCGGGAATGAGCACTTTATCCACGCCGTGTGCGATGAAGTAAGGGCCGGCATACAACCTCACGATCTTGATCGTCGTCCACGTGGCAGCAGGCGCGTTTGGCCCCTTGGCAAACGACACTGTATTGCCGTTTTGGGGCGAAACCTTGTAAAGGGCCTGCTTCAATTGAGTACCAACGGGCTGAGACTTCTTGAGCGATTTTAGCTGAGGAACGGTGAATTTCCCCCGGATGATGTGGTACGCGGTAATATTGTAAATTGTGGGGATGTTGCTGCTCTTAGCGGGGAGCTTCTTAGCGAGGGCTTCGGCCTCTGTGTTGCTGGGGAGGAGGATGGTCGCGTCCGAGAGGGCTGAGAAGTCGTACTTGGAGTTCAACGCGAGGCCGATGTACTTGTTGATGTCCTTCGCGTATTTCGCATATTCCGGGTAACGCTTCGTGATGTTCGTCGCCATGTTGTTCAGCTCCGCCTTCAGCTGCGCCTTGGTGGGCTTCGGCTTCGCTTGTGCGTTTGCTCCAGCTATGCAAAGGGCGATGCAGATGAATCCGAGGAAGAGCAGGGCTCGGGAACTCGCCATCTCAAGATGAGGAATCGACGCAGAAAACTCTTGGGTCTCAAAGAATTTGGGAAAATGCGGGTCAAGTAGTCGTAAGGGAGCTAGGAAGCCGCAAGGGAAGTTATGAGCAGCGAATGAGTAGCACAGAATTTGACTTGAGAAGTGCGAGGAAAATGGTTGTGATGAGAAAGATATGCACGAGAGGAATTTATAGTAGTGTGGATGGGAGGGATGTGATGAAAATTGCGACAGAAGTTTTCGCGAGCTCATTACGCGGTTGAAAATCTTCGCCAGGGGCAAACGCGGTGCGGCGAACCACGGAGTATTCGGTGGAGGGGGATAGGGAGACCTAGGTAACTGCGGGTACCTGGAGCGATGGGAGCCGACAAAACGGCGCAGCACAGGAGGTGACGAAGGTCTGGCGAAGGCGAGGAACTTCGCTGCGCTTGAATGGCGGCAGTTCTTGGCGGTCGCGGCGCGAACGAAAGTCGCAGGGAAGCTGCTCGAGAACGAGTGCGACTTGTGCTGCTGTTACGATACGACTACGCGATGGTACGCCACTTTCGCATATCGTTATGAATTAATCAGAGTAATAACAGGTAGTGTAATAGAGGAGTCGTGATTCAAGAGTGTCAATACAAATGAGGGCCTAGGCATTTATAGGCACGAACAGAGCTAGCCCATGACCACGCGAACAGGTTGGGGCGGTCCGGTTGGCGAAAGCCACGGAAGCACTGCGTGCCGAGATTTAGGTTCGTGAAATGGTTCGGGACCGAAGAAGTTGGCCGAGCCTGAACTTCCGAGCGTCGAAGGCGTACGCGCGGTAGTCGAGCCCAGTAAGGAAAAGGGAATTTCCTTACACCACCCCCCCTTCCGGGATGAGACTACCCACATATGGAACACGTCGTCGGTGTAAGTAGTCTCGGACGACTTTGTGTTCGCTGAGCATTGCTGCGGGGACCCAAAGATCGTCGTCAGTCGTGCGATCGACCCATCGTACAAGGAAATCAACGGCTGCTGTAGCTCTCTGGCCTCGTACGCGATGAGCGAGAATCTTGGATTGCTCGATCGTTGGCTCGGGTACTAGGTTGACCGTATGATTGATGTGTTGACGGTCGAGATTAGTCGTATTCAGGACGAACGGTCGCATGAGACTGACGTGGAAGGAATCATGAATTCGCCAGTCGGTCGGCAGTTCCAGCTGGGCGGCGAGTGGTGTCACCATGCAGATGATGCGGAATGGGCCGCAAGATCTTGGTCGTTATTTATTAGGGAGGGGAATTTTCAAATTTCTGGTGTCGAGCAGGACCAATTCCCCCGGAGTCATCGGTCAGCTTTCTGCTTAGCCCTCTGGTTGGCTTTGAGGATGGCATCGGCGGCTTTTTGCTGAGACTGTCAGAGATTTTCTACGAACTGTTGAGACCTTGGTGCCGGATTTTCTATCGGGGGCGATAGAGGGGTTGTCGGATCTATCCCATAATTAAGGAAGAACGGGACTGAGTAGTCGTGGCCGATGGGGCGTTGTTGTATGCAAACTTGATCAAGGGAAGGGCGTCTTCGCATTGGGTCGGGTCTGTGCACGTCATGCGAATCAGTTGCTCCATCGTCTCATTGGTGCGCTCAGTCTGGCCGTCTGATTGCGGGTGGTATGCCATGGACAGATGCAGACGTGTGCCGTTCTGCTGCCAGGTTTTTGTCCAGAAATTGGGTGTGAACTGTGGGTCACGATCGCTGATGATTGCCGAAGGGATGCCGTGTAGTCGCATGATGTTCTTGAGGAACAATTTCGCTTAATGCTCCGCAGTAATCGTCGTCTTGCAGGCTGCGAAGTGGGCCATCTTGGTCAACCGGTCAACGACGACGAGAATCGCGTCGTTACCGCTTGGACCAGCTGGCAGGCCAGTGACGAAATCCATCGTCACTTGTTGCCAGGGTCGGCTGGGTGGCTCTAGTGGCTGCAGCAATCCAGCAGGTCGAAGCCAGGAAGACTTTATGCGTTGACACGTGGCGCAGGAGGTGACGTACAGGTGCACGTCTGTCGGCAAATCGGGCCAGTAATAATTACGGCTCAGTAATTTGGCAGTTTTGTCGATGCGGTAGTGACTCGAGAAATTTGAGTCATGTGCCTCCTGGATCGGTGATTCCCGTAGGGTACGGTAGGAGGGAACCAAAATCCGATTGGTACCGGATTTAAGGTAATATGCCTCTTGCTTGTCCGTCGGATGGGGATGACTGTTAGTGGTGAAGAATGGATCAGTACTGTATCCGTGGGTGAATAGGCCAGTTAGGAGCGGATTCGCTTGGGTAATTAGGACGGCATCGGTGTGGACTAAAGAGCGCGTCAGTGTGTCAGCGATGTTGCTAACCCCTCGTTTGTAGGTGACTCTGTAGTGGAAGTTGGACTCGAGGTAGTCAAGCTAGCGAATCTATAGGGAATTCAGTGTCGGTTGGGAGCGGATGAACTGTACCAATTTGTGGTCTGTTCGGACTTTTACGTCAGCGCCCGTCAGGTAGCAGCGCCAGACTTTGAAGGCGTAAACGATGGCGAGTAACTCCTTGTCGTGGACAGGATAATTTCCCTCAGCCGGGTTCAGCTTTCGTGACTCGTAGGTGATGGGTTGGAGGCCTTCGCCGAAGTCTTGTAACAGGACTGTGCCAACGGCCAGGTCGCTAGCGTTAGTGATGAGCACGAATGGACGGTGAGGATCTACAATCCGAAAAACCGGAGGTGTAGTCAGGAAAAGTTTGAGCTGTTCGAACGCAGCCTGCTGCTCTCCCCCCCACTCATAAAACTTACCCTTCTTCAGGAGATCCGTGAGAGGGGAAGTTACCCCCGCCTTGTTCGGAATGAAACGGCGGACGTAATTCGCAAAACCCATGAAACTTTGAAGTTCGCGGAGATTAGCCGGCGGCTTCCAGGCTGGGATTGTCGCAATCTTCTTAGGGTCAATTTTAACACCGTCGATGGAAATGACGTGGCCCAAAAACTCCAGTTTGTGAGAGTACGACCCCGTTACACCACTTGGCCTTTTCTTATTTCCTTCCCTTTTCATTTCTCTTTTTACCGCATCTCATTTGGTTTCCTATTCTTCCTTTTCCATTAACCTTTGGTTTATCCTGCTATTATCATTATATCACCGACCAGGCTTGGGATGTATTGGTGCGCTATATCTAGCGTAATCCTGCCGTAATCCCTTAAAGCCAATAGCCTCGTGTGGCTGTACGCAGGGTGATTCTATCTTCTAGAAGGGTCTATTCCCTTAGGATAAGATAAACCTGGTTACCTGATGTACTTTGGAAATATAAAAGCGCCTTGTACTGATCGATAGTGCAACCTTTCCTCGACACATTCGATCCTGTGACACTTGGTAATCAGAGCTTTTCTCACTCGACCGCGCTCAGCTAAGCAGCAGCAGCGGGGATCCTGCCTCGAAAAACCGCCGGGGGCGACCAATTCGACGCCGATTCTGGTAAGCACCAGCTCCGCGATTTTCGAATTACCCCCTCCGTGCGTGTTTTGAACAGGATGGCAACCTTCGACAACGCCGAGGTTACCCAGCAGCTCTTCGCGCGCATCGCAGCCCTTCAGGAGGAAATGCGAGCGGATCGCGAAGCGTGGCGAAACCAGTTCGAGCGAGTAACTCGACTCGCCGGAGCGCAGCACGAGACGACAACGGCGACGACGCAGCAGTCGCAGCAGTTTCTCGAGGCTCCGAAACCGCGCCCACCTGAGCCGCTCGATCCGAGCGATCGAAACTCCGACGCCCGCAGATGGATCGCCGGGATGGAGATCTACTTCGCAGCCGTCGGATGGAGCTCGCCCGTCTGGGACGGTCAACGCGTACGACTCGCGGCGACACTGATGCGAGGGCCGGCACTCGAGTGGATTGGCGGCAACAGTACTTTCATCCACGGTGAAGCCACGTGGCAGCAGTTCCGCGCCGACCTGCTGAAACGCTTCGAACCGATAAATTCAGGTTTCCTTGCCCGCGAAAAAATTCATCGCCATCGACAGTTCGGGAGTGTAGCACAGTACACGCAGCAGATGGAAGAATTTTATAACCGAATTCCCGACCTGACCGAAGGGGAAAAAGTGCAATCGTACCTCGCAGGGCTGAAGACCGAAGTCAAACGACAGGTGGCAGCGTCAAACTACGCGAGCTACAGCGACGTCGTTTCGGCCGCGGAGCCCTTCGACATGGTCAACGCCGGAACACGACGGACGCACGTCGGCAGTACGCGACAAGGCGACCGCTCGGCTCACACCACGTTCGCCGACCCGATGGAGATCGACAGATTCGACAGGCGGCCACGTCCGAAAAACACCAACTACACGTGTGATTTTTGCGGGGTGCCGGGTCATCGAATCTTCGACTGCAACAAAATGAAGGCCGCACGCGCAGAGTATCGGGCACGCAACAGTGGCGGAAATCTTTCGGCCAATCAGAAGACAAAAAACGGGAGTCGCCAGTGATTGCGGATCTAGCTGGCGAAAATAAAAAGATCCGAAAGCGGCCGCGGGATTCCGGGAAAATCAACTTCGACGAAGCTGATTCGACGCGAGAAGGAGGAAATGATGGGGGAAAATCTCCACCCCACGACCAGTCTTCGCCAGAGGAAATCGCCGAGGAAAAATACGACTCCGCGAAAAAAGACTCTGCCGAAACGGGGAAACTCCTTGAAGACCCAAGAAATTATAAGAATTCGTTAAAGTTATCTTATAAAGATGCTTTAATGAAAACTTATGATGTTCGAGGGGCTAGAGCCTTGGAGAAATTTCGGGAGGGACTCCAAAAGAAGCAGACAGCTGTGGAGATCATACCGGTACCGGACAACATGGGGAAAAAATTAAGGAGTGTGGAAAGAAATCGACCTTTCCACAGAGTCAACGTCCTCTCCTGACACCTGCCCACATCGACTACCCGTTCCCCAGGGAAGACGTCAGTGGAGCTGAAGCAGCTTAAAAGGAAGCTGGGGGTCTACAAGAAGCCGCAAAAACCCCAAACTCCTCCTACGGATGCATCCAGTTCTTCGGCATCAGTGACGCGCACAGTCGTCAGGGAAACTCCGGGCCCTGGAGAAGAGCCGTTCTCCAAGCAGCCTCGGCCAGCTGCCAGCTCAAGAGTAGACAGCAACACAAAGGTGTGTACGGAATATTGGGATGTACC